GAATACGAGACAAATACGTACAAAAATTACTTCTACAAATTCAGAATATATCAAATTACATTCTTCTGTAGGGGAAGGAAAAAGAAACGGCCTAGCTTTTACAGAATTTTCAGTCAAAATCTGTCCATTTCTGCCGCTTTTACGGCCATGTTGAAAATAACGTTACCACAATGCAATGCAATCGGAGTGCGCACACCGCCTCTGTGCAAGCAATGCAGTTATCGCCTATTCTCAAATGAAAAGGTCTTTATATAAAGGTCACTCGCGATCTTTATATAGAGGTCACTAGTCATCCTTGCAGAAAATTTTTAATGGCGTTGCTTCCATTACAGTCTTCCAAATGAGGCTGCAATCCAAAGCAGATACTATACAAAATTCAAGGAGGATAGCGCTTTCTTCTTTCGCTTTACACACTTTCGCGAAAAACTTTGTCAATCAAAAATTCAAGGACTCAACGCTCATTCTAAACATTCGTTTCTAAGCTTTAAACAGTGTTCAGTTCAACTTTGAATCCTCTTTCCACAAAGTTGACGTCGTTATATCTTCTTGAACCTTGCCACTCGCCGAATATTTTGTAAGCCCCCTTTTAGGTTCTCTAAACACGCATTATGGCGGTATTTCAAGTAAAAGCTTCCTAAACCTTTGACAGCAGCCGAACATAGAGCACTTTTTCTATCTGAATATAATTAATCTTTTAATTATATTAATTATTAATCATGTCACCTTTATCTAAATCTCTCGAGAGGCATGAGTTTTTAAAGCCGTTCAAAAAATTCGCAGCACGTGTTTAATCGGCTCTAAAAACACTCGGCTACGCCTGGTTTTTTCAAACCTAATAAACCACTGCTGCTCGTTTTTTAAACATTTTTAAACGTACTATAACCTGTCCTGAACTTATCACAAGTTTAAATTTTTGCCTTGCTCATACTATCTAAGTAACCCCATTATGTATTGTGTTTTTCATATGTTCTCGTTTTCTGGGATAAGGATGATAAAGCGTAAGCCCCATCTCCTACACCTTCTCTGTACTGGTTAAGAATTAGCAGAAGACGTTAAGAATCCATGCACTTTATGGAAAGAATAGGTAACGTGGCGTCGATGTTGTGGTCCGGCCTTGATTCCGAAATTAGGTGCGTCTGCAAATATTTCCTCAAAAAAAAAAAAACCTGGTAAACTGCTCAATACAGTCCGGCCAAAGTCCTCTGCAAAATGTTCTAAAGCGTTTCCAATTCATGAAAATGGCGCCTTAGAAATCCTTCATTACATTTTTCTTTCATACATACCTTAAATCAGTGAGTTTACCCTTCCATTCTGGCATAGCATGGAAAGGCAGTGGAGCCAAGCTTTTTATAACAAGTTCTCCCACAGTTCCATCCCTTCGTTTGGAAATGTTATAGAATATTTTTCCGACTTTGCACGAAATTTGGAACTTGGACGAGTTCATATCGACAAAGCATGAAAAATACATTCTGAGTGGGTCGCTGTA